CTTCGGAAAGGTCACAATATTTCATAAAAGTCGCAACTCTTCATAAAAGTCACAACTTTTCATAAAAGTCATAATTTTTCATAAAAGTTGCAACTTTTCATAAGAGTCACAATTTTTCCTAAAAGTTGCAGCTTTTCATAAGTCGCAACTTTTCATAGAAGTCACAACTTTTCATAATAGTCACAATTTTTCATGAAAGAGGAAGGCTAGTTTTGGAAATAAAATAAATTTAAAAAGAATCATGGTTTGTGGTGGCGCCAAGTTGGCAGGCCTCTTATATATATATATATATATATATATATATATATGATTTTTTTGATCACTTTAATGAATATTCTTGGATATATTTTATTAAGAACAAATCTGATGTGTTTGATATTTTTCATCAATTTTAGTTATTGGTTGAGAAGTATTTCGGTTGTTCCATTAAATAATTTCAGGCAGATTGGGGAGGGGAGATTCAAGCCTTGACTTCCTATTTGCGCACACATGGGATAATACTACGTGTTTCTTGTCCATATACCCCTGAACAAAATGGGTGTGCCGAAAGGAAACATAGATATGTAACTGAAGTTGGTCGTGCACTTCATTTTCACTCCCGTGTCCCTTCTAAATTTTGGACAAACGCATTTGAAACGGTTGTCTTTGTTATCAATCGTCTGCCCACTCCTCGGTTAAATCATCAAACTCCATATGAAATTTTGTTTGGTGACAAGCCTGATTACAATCAATTACGTGTTTTTGTTTGCTTATGTTATCCTTGGCTTCGTTCTCATTCGCAAAATAAATTAAGTCCACGTTCAACTCCCTGCGTTTTCCTTATAGTCACACTCACAAAGTCTACAAGTGTTATAATCGTGTCTCTAACAAATTTTTTGTCTCACGTCATGTGTTATTTGATGAACATGTATTCCCTTTTCAAGAAATCGATGGTGTGTGTTTCGCGTTTACTTAGCCTGAAACAAGTCTATCTTTTGTTATTCCTACTCCCTATATACATCCACCAATATCGCAACCTCTACCACCTGTCATCCAAGAACCCACATCAACTCATTCGCCATCCTTTGTGCATTGTTCTCCTGCACAATCTCCATCGCAGGCCTCTCTTGTTTCACTTGGTACTGGTCCACATAATACACAAGTTCAAGGCCTTGATAATTTGATTGGTGGTGTTGTTATTGATTCTCTAGATAACTCTAATTCTAGTGGTGCTATTTCATTGGATGTAGTCACACCTATTCGAAATCATCCAATGGTTACACGAGTGCAAACATAAAATCTTAAGCCCAAATGTATCCAGTCCTTCTCTACCTCTTGTAGCCTTTCTCTTGATCCCACATGTTATACTCAGGCTATTAAAATTCCTGAATGGCGATCTGCTATGTTTAGGGAATATAATACGCTCATTGCAACTGATACTTGGAGGTTGGTTCCACCTCATCAAGCTACGAATATCATTGGTTGTAAATGAGTTTTCAAGACAAAAAAAGACCAAATGGCTCCATTGAATGACATAAAGCCAGATTAGGTGCCAAAGGTTTCCATCAACGCCTGGGAATTGACTTTGATGATGCTTTCAGTCCTGTTGTCAAACCTACAACTATTCAACTATTGCTTTCTACTGCCGTGTCACGGGGATGAATTGTTAATCAAGTTGATAGCTCTAACACATTCTTGCATGGTAAGCTAGAGGAGGATGTATACATGATTCAACCACCAGCTTTTGTTGATCCTAATCACCCTAATTACATATGCAAGCTAAAGAAGTCTATTTATGGTCTTAAACAGGCTCCTCAAGTATGGAATAAATGTTTGACGTATGCCTTGTGTGAGCTTAGTTTCCAAGGCTCTAAAACAGATATTTCACTCTTTTTTAGAAGCATGGGCACTGAAAAACTATTTTGTTTGATCTATGTTGATGACATTATAGTCTTGGGCGCGTTTATGCATCTTGTTTCTTCATTGCTTTAACAGTTAGAAATGTGATTCTCCTAGCGGAACTTGGGCAAGCTTCATTACTTTTTGGGTATTGAAGTTACATGGCGATCTTATGGGTTGTTGTTACATCAGTCTAAATATATATATGATCTCTTAGAACGTAGTAACATGTTAACTTGTAGTGATATTTCTACTCACATGTGCCCGAGCAATAAACTGCACAACAGTGACAACATTCAATTCTTTGATGAAAGTCTTTATCGAAGTATTGTTGGTGGCTTACAATATCTCACTTTCACTAGACCTGATATTTCCTTCTCGGTGAATAAAATTTGTCAATTCATGCATAGTCCGACAGAGAAACATTGGGCAGCAATTAAGCGTATATTGAGATGTCTAAAATCCACTTCTTCTCATGGTATTCTCTTTCAAAACAGAACCCTTAGCAATTACAAGGATATTGTGATGCCGATTTGGGAGGAAGTATAGATGATCGGAAGTCTACTACTTGTTTTGCAATTTTCTTAGGTTCGTCGCTTGTTTCTTGGTGTTCGCGCAAACACCGATTTGTCTCGCGCTCTACTACTAAGGCTGAATATCGCTCTCTTGCTGCTGCCACCAGTGAACTTCTATGGATCCGTCAATTGTTGAAAGAAATTGATCTTTCTTCTGGTTCCTTGCCTTCATTGTGTGATAATTTAAGTGTAACCTATCTTACATCTTACCCGGTATTTCACTCTTACACCAAACATATGGAGATCGATTTTCACTCTATTTGAGATCTTGTACAGGAAAAAGGAACTTCGGGTTCAATATATTTCTTCTCATGATCAGCTTGCGGATATTCTTACCAAGCCTCTCTTGAAGGATCGTTTTTGTGATTTACGTGGCAAGTTGAACCTCATACCTGGGTCAACTTGAGAGGGAGTGATAAGTATGGTATTTATGTATTAGTTAATGTATCTACTAAGGGTTATTTATGTAATTGTATATGTATAAATACCTAAATATATGATCAATGAAGGTCACGTTGGGTTCTACTTTACAATAATGACATTTTCAAGGCAATTATTAGACAACCCAAGCACTACATATACATCTCCTTTATTCAACCAAATTAACCGTTTTTTTTGCTAGGCAAAGATAGTATAGTGTAAATACCGCTTTTACAGGAATTGATACAAATAATATTTTAAATAAAATCTATTTACTATTATTCAAGTAATTAAAACGTGAATTTTTGTGGTTATGAAGCACGATTATCGACTAAAAATGTAAATAAAGATAATTGACAATGAACAAAGGTTACTACCTCTATGCGAAGTTACGGTAATAGACAAGACAAGTGCAAGATGATAATCAGGGGGTCGGAAGGATGTTCATCTGAATCCCCTCGACAAAAAAATACACTAAATATATAAGATAGTTTTTTTGTTTTTTCAGTAGATGTGATTCAATAGTCCGACAAGAAATTTCAGATGTTGATTAAAGGATTTTTTTTATGATATTACATTCATAAATATACTATATACCATAATATTTGTGTGGTTATCGACTTGTGAACTTGTAATCTTAAATATATTATATAGTTACAATTAAGAACTTGCTGCTGAATGCACAATGGGAAGTTTAACTAAAGTCAAATGGTTTCAAATATAAAAATGTACTCCCCGTCCAAAACAATTAATGTTTTAGCATCTAAAAATTTGTCCAAAATACTAATGGATCATGAGTAATTGAGATGAATATGATTCAAAAAATTAATTAATTTTTAAAAGTAAATAAGACAAGTAAATAGACCATTATTTTTTTTTTTAAAATGAAGCGTCGTGCATCATGCTTTTGAGAAATCAGTATATTGGCTATTATCGTAGTCCGTAGAGGTATAATAGCAAATATATATATATTACTAATATAAGAAAGAATATTCAGAAAGCACACTGAGTTATACTTTATACACCTTTCTCCTTGTCGTTTTTTATGAACCTGGCTAATTCAATTTAGCACAAAACCAAAATATTACAATCTTTTAATTAAAACGAACAAAATTAAAGAATATATAAATTATTTGGTGTCCCTTTGCATTTTAGAAAAAAGAATAAAGTAAAGGATTTAAATAAATACAAGATCAATAAATAAATATAAAATTAGAGAAGAACCATATGCTTGCTGTCAAATATAAAACAAATAAGCAAAAAATCTGACGTGAGAGGTGACGGTAATTTAGTCCGGTATATAATATAAAGTATTGAGAGAGAGAGAGAGAGAGAGAAAGCGTCTTCTTTTTCAAATCGGAAAAAAAAAATTTAGTAAGAATTATGCATGTCAATTAAATAGTAAAGTTTTATAATAAAATTGATAATTTGATAAAAATAATAACTTAAAATAAAATCATTTGGCCCGAGAAGTCAAAGTACTACATTAGATGGTTAAATCTCATAGTGTTAAGAGTAAATTTTATTATCACTATTTATTTCTCAAATTACAAAAATTCCTTAAATTTATAGTATCTTGGATACATCAAAAAACTTGTAGATACATAGCTCATGAGTTGCGAATGGTATATTACTTAATGGAAGGGATGCATCCTAAAAGGAATAGGGATGAATCCGAGAGGGGAGGAATGTTTTCGAGAGGAGATAAGGATGTATTCGAGAGAGTATTTTTGTAATTTTTTAAATGGTAGAAAATTTTAGAGATTATACTAAAATAAGATGCGTATTTATATAATTTTTCCGAAATGATTTTTGAACTATACAAAATAGCTTATAGTTACCTTTAATTAATATTTTTGAGTTTCATTATTAACATAATGAATTAGCCTTTATTTACTTTGTATAATTGTCCGTTCAAATAATTAGTAAATATATATTTTTATACATTGACTAGTAACAGTAATTACTTTTGGGCCAGTAACTAATTAGGTAAATAATCTATTTTCAAATGTCGAAAACTTATCATCCGACGCCACGTGAAAAGAAGCGGCTAGATTTTCAAAATCTTTTTTTTTTTTTGACCCCATCAGTATTATATTATACGTGCATTAAAATAATAAATTTGTCTCTGAATTGTGTGAATATTATATTTTGATCATTGAATTGGATGCTAATTGTCTTTTGAAATATGAACAAAATTTAACTTATTTTAATATGGTGGTTATTCACTGTAGCTCACTTTGATGCCCAAGTAAATGAGGTCATTACAGACTCTGTGTCCAAGTAATTCTTAATACTTATAAATAGTCTTGAAAAAATTGTTCCTTTATTTCGATCGATACACATTTTCTTGTTATTTTAGTTTAGTACTTGGCTTTAATTTTATAATAACATTGTTAATATTATTATGTTGGGTCCTGAGTGTTGTGAAAATCCACCAAATTACCTGAGCGGAGGAGGAGGAGGAGGAGCTGGTCATGTCCAACAGCTTGGAGGTTTCAACTGTTATCTTTCTGGTCCTGTTGATTCCACCCAAGCTGTAATCCTTGTTTCTGATGTTTTTGGTAACTTCTCCTTTTTGTTTGCTAATGTTAATATTTAGAATTTAAATGAGAATATTTTAAAAAAATATGATTTATATCGAACTTATTGCCTTTTTTTTTGTTAATATACAGGATATGAAGCTCCAAAGTTGAGGTAAGGATTGCAGGAATAAACATGTCCTTTTAATTTGACCTCAGCTAATATCGATGTCTGTCCTTCAATTTTGAATGTGCTTAAGTAGATACTTAAACTGGTATAAAGTTGAACAAATAGATACACAACATCCTACCTATATTTGGATGTAATTAATAGATGATATTCTTCAAACTGATAGATATATAACCTTTGCTTTCAAAATTATAGAAAGCTTGCAGACAAAGTTGCAGAAGCTGGCTTCTATGTAGTAGTCCCTGATTTCCTTCGTGGTGATCCCCGTATACCTAATGATGAGAAGCCTTTAGAAGTATGGATAATAGATCATGGACCGGTAAGTTTCTATTTCTAATATTGATATATATATTTAGCTCAGGTATCAAATTTCATGTTTGCACTTTTATCTGATGTATTCTTGTTGCTACAGGATCAAGGATTCGAAGATGCAAAACCAGTTATTGAAGCTTTAAAGAGCAAAGGTGTAACAAAAATCGGAGCAGCAGGCTTCTGTTGGGGAGGTCATTCTTCTTGCTCTGGTTACAACTTCTTTTCATCTTTGTTAAAGTAATTTGCTAAAGAATTACGCTACTTTGAATTCGTTCCAGCTAAGGTAGTCGTGGAACTAGCAAAATATGCTTATATCCAAGCTGCAGTGCTATTGCATCCTTCATTTGTTGATGTAGATGATATGCACGGTATGATTTTGCTACTACATCTTCTATAGCACGCATTTCATAATGTAATGCAGTATCAGGGCTAATTTTTCATATTTAGCATTTTGATATTTTCATTTGTGAAGTCGTAAGTCTCTATTGTTGTTGTGTTTCAGCGGTTAAGGTTCCAATCTCAATATTGGGAGCGGAGATTGACAGAAGATCTCCACCTGAGCTTGTCAAGCAATTTGAGATGGCCTTAAATGCGAAGCCTGAGGTAGGAATTCGAGTTGTATCATAATAATTGACTAAGAGGTGTATTCGAGTACATAGTTTACCAACGATACAGGTTTCAACAGAGAATGAATTGGATGTTTATGGTGCTTTTTTCGTGCAGGTTGATGCATTTGTGAAGATTTTTCCTGGGGTTACACATGGCTGGGCCGTGAGGTACAATGATGAAGATGAATTGGCTGTAAAATCTGCTGAAGAGTCTCATCAAGACATGTTGGGATGGTTTGAGAAACATCTCAAGTAAAATTTGCTTTCATTGTAATGACATGTTTTCTTTGTATGTTTTTGGTAATAAGGTTTGGAGGGTTTTCTTTGTATGCAAAATGAGTGTTGTTTGTGTTTGGTTTATGAGATAATTTGTGAAAGAACACTTGTATGCCAATCCAAATTGACACATGAGAATTTCACTTAAATGTGGAATGTGGTTATGTTTATAAAAATATAAATTAGGGTAAATTTGAAAAAAAAATAAAGGTGAAAGTGAAAACAATTTCAAGTTACCGTTGGAGTTTTTATGACCAAATGCTGATTTTCAAATAAAATGAAAAAAAAATCGGAAGAAAGTAAAAAATTCCCATAGCCATACAAGGCTGTTTTCCTTGTACACACATGAGAGGGGAACTAGATTAGCTAATGCCATTTGCTCAAACTTGATGGGTTCCAAAGAATCAGGTCGTATGCGGAAGTTTATAATTGCAAATTATGTTGGTGATAAATTAGATTACAAATAAAAATATATATATAAAAAACATATTATTAATATGGTTTGGTCAAGTGACCTACATATTGAAAACTAATACTCCATCAAAAAACATAAACTCTATTGGGAAAATAATAATCTCCCTTAACAAAAAATTCCGGCTCAGCCCGGGAAAGCGCTGGCAACAACTGAAAGGAAGGGGTCCATGTAGTTGTTGTGTCCGCCTCTTTCTTAGTCAATGGGGCACAACAGGTTTGACATCTACTACAAAAGAGAGAATCCACTTCAGAAATACAATTAACAGGACTAATGAGATACAATGGTCAATAAAATACATGAAAGGAAGAAACAGCAGGACCCTTGTGTATAGAATGGCAATTGTTATTTTAGAGCTGATGTTAAGTTTTGATTATTTAACAAACTTAGAGATCTAACAAGGAACCAGATTTTTGTTATTGGGACTGATGACAGTGAAATGAATGAATAAACTCAATGTGAGGAATATTTGTGTGTCATCTTCAAAAAGGGGGGAAATGTTATATTCTAGGTGTTTTGATGATCCTCACAAATGCAGGACCTGGTCCCTGGCAGAGTGCTCTCGTCCAGATTCAAATGGGGTACAACTGTAAAGTTGTCATGTCAAGTGGTAGGTGAAAAGTGCAGTGTACTGCAATAATAAAAAGAGCGGCCAAGACTGTCTGTTTCTGTGGCTCACAAATGCAGGGACCCGGTCTCAGGCAAAGTTCTCTCGTCCAGATTTAGAATTGTGTACAACTGTAAAGATGTCCTGTTAGAGGTTGGTGAGGCGTCAGCGTACTACACCAGTCAGAATGGACGAGGTTGTTTGTCCAACGGTTAATAACTCTTTATGGTTGATTTAATCAACATGACAAACAACAAATTAAATCATTCATTCAAAAGGAGAGCTAGCCAACAAGTCTTCTCAAGAACTCACTGAAAAAAGTTTGCAAGGGACCTGGTCCCTACAAGACTGCGTATGTGAAAGGACAGCAAGACAGCTGTCAGAAAATCGGTCACCTTTGATTTGGTAGGTGCACGTCTTTCCAAAGAAGCAGGCTCTCAGCCAATGGGCGGTCCCAAGGAGTTTGTCTTTTTGATATAGTCTTTTCCACAAAACACAAACTCAAGATTTGGCAAACAAAAACTTATAAGCTTAAAAAGAGAAGGCCATCTTCAAGGAAGAACTCAAGCACAAGAACACATACAGCAAAGACCTGATCAACTGAAAGAGTGCTTTCCATACCTGTTGTTGTTCTTGATTGTTTGTATTTGTGCTTAACTTGTAGGATTCGTTTCACTTGTGTTAGAAACGTTTCAAAACTTGTGTGAATCTTTGTAAGAACATAGTTAGGGGTAACTTTGTGTCTTATTATAAAAGTTTATATTAATCGTTGAGGATTAGTGTAGTGGGCAATGCATGCATTGCTTAGGCTCGTTTTAGTAATAGTTGTATTACTTAGTGTGAGATTAGGAGGTTAATCTCATTGTTGTGGTGCAAATTGTGTTTCGCTTTTGCTTGAGAAGATTAGTGAAAACATTTTGAGAGTCCTATGCGACAGGTCGTGGTTTTACTCCCTTGAGCAAGGAGGTTTCCACGTAAAACTCTTGTGCCTTTTACGTTGTGCTATTTATTTTCTACACTTTCATTCTATCGGGGACCTGATCCTGTGATCACTGGTGAACGCGTACATTCCAACAACAATGGCAAACACAGTATATCATATATGGTTAGAGTGCAATGCCAGGATATTTCAACAAAAGCAGCAGTTAGCAGGCTCCATGATCAGACATATAATCCAGGAAATTCATGGGAGAGGCATAAGATATTCTAGAATAGCTTCTAGATTACACAATTTAAATACTTATCCATAGAAATAGCTAGCAAATATGAGACTTTGGTTTAGCAATGATGGAGCTTATATCCATACCGGCTAATTTTTTTGTTTTGTAGCCTTTACTTGGTAAATAAAATGTTTACTTATCAAAAAAAAATAATCTCCCCTTAAACCAAACTTTCTAAACGACTACATTGTGAATGTTCTTATGTTCTTAGTATGAGAAGAGAGATCTTTAATTTATAGAGTTCCAAACTTCTCCTCTAAGAAAAGAATAACCAAATATGTATGAAAAATATTTTTCTTTTAGAAAAGGTTAAAACATTTATGATAATACATTGCCTTTCCTTCAAGAGAAAAATAAAACTCAAATAAGAAAGGAAATCTAGGCAAAACCTAACAAAACTTAATATCATGATTTCCTTTCATTTTCACACACTTGTATCATAAAATCTCAAGAAAATTTTCAACTTATTGTGAAGATTATCTCATTCACGCCGCTATTATCATAAAGTTGCATTGTGAATATTCTTCAAACAAGAGCAAATATCAAATCTTGTGTGATATTGCTGGACCTTGAATGTGATGCATGCATTAATAAGTAATAAAAACATTTCAAATATTTTTCAGGAACATCAGGTAACTTCGCAAAAATTAATTTTACTCCATGGTAGCAAGTGTTTCTTGTTTTTCCCTTATTTCTTGATTGTTACCTAGAGTGTGATTTATTCTTGAAATAATAAAATTACACTCTATGTAACAGTCAGAAAAGAGAAAAAAACTCAAAACACTTGCTATCGAAAGAAAAATGTTTGCGAAGTTACCAGATAATTCTGAAAAATATTTGGAACATCTCTAAACTAACACTTCACATTCAAGGTCTACCAACATCACACTAGCTTTGACATATGCCATAGTTTCAAGGATATTAATTACAACATTATGTTAATAGTGGCATGAATGAGATAACTCTTCAAACACCCTTCCAATAAGTTAACAAAATTACAAAGATTTTTCAATATAAGCATGTAAAAACAAAGATAATGAATTTAAAGTTTTAGCAAGTGGCATTAGCTAATCTATGACTATGTCTGTTGAAAAACATTGAAAATCTCGTAGCTTGAAGCATGTCTATGGCACTGGGATATTTCACTGACTAAAATGTATCCCCAGGTTTCTAGTATTAAAACTAGGAGCCAAAAACTAACAAAGGAGATATTTTACTTAAAGAAAACCCAACAAATAAAAAAAAATCCTTGTTTTTATTTTCCACTTCCTAAGCTAACACACAAAAAAATCCTTGATAGAGTGTCATTAAGGACAATATAATATGGGGCAATAATATACAATTAATTCTTTTGACAATCTTTAATGATGATATAAAGAATTTCAAAGATTATTCTTATATTTTTTTTAAGATAATAAAGATATTTGATCAACAATGTCTAGGTGAAGAATGGTGGCTACAGCGCCAATTTTTGACTTATTTTTATCATGCTATTGAGTTTTATGCTTACTCTTATAGGGAACATTATTTGTATATGAACCATAGAGGTCAATCTAAAACAGAATTTTTATCTCAATTTATCGGTGCAAATTTTAGATTTCTTCTATTATCCAATTTTATATAACTTCTTATCGATAAGTATTTAAACATTTACAAGCATTGACGTAACATCTTCTAGCATGTCATAAATTAATTATTTAGCATTAGAAAGACAATAACCTGAAAAAAAGAGTGGAACTAATAGATACAAAATTGTATATTCTATCCTAGCTAAGAAGAGATTGAGATGAAGGCAATTAGTTAACATTATGATGCAACGTTGAAGTGTTAATTTAATTATTCGATGTCAATAGTGCACAACAAGTGTTGAATCGTGTCTCGTAGAAGCCCTCAAGTCAAGAAGTATGAATCTTGATGATTATGCTGAAATAATTGCCTCAATATGCAATGAAATGCCCAAGGGAACAAATGGTAAGTCCTACTCATAACTATCTCTATTGTTATTTGCTTTGTCTTAAGGTATTGAATGAAATGTTTTTAATATGATCATTTTTGCTAAATAGTGTAGCTTGAGTGTCATGTGTTTTTTAGTACTCACTAATTATCAAATATGGTATTAATTGAATTGCTTTTTTTTAATGAAGATGTGACTGATGTTGTGTATTTTGTAAAAATTGGTCCATATGCTAGTATTATATGTGCGACATTGCTGACAGTTGAGACGACTTTAAATAATAATAGCATAACAACTCTAGAAAAAAAAAATTATACCATCACAATCATATCAAACAACTAAAGAATATTAGATTTAGAGATGGGAGCTAGTCATGGGATTGTCGACATAGGACTATGAAGAAATATAGCAAAGCAAATAAGGATACTCACCTAGAACACTCCTAGGTGAGCTAGGAGTGTTGGTTCGAAAAGATAATATCTGCAATCTCAAGATGAGAGAAATGGTAATCACTTTTCTTTTTTACTTCTCTTTTTGTATTTGTTAATTTTACCTAACATTAAACTACTCTATCCAGCAAATTTGTCAAGACAAAGCGGCAAAGAAAGATTGTCATGTCAAAGGATGAGGTACTAATATAACGTATTTTGAAGTTTTCAAAATATGTTATATTAGTACATCATCATCCTTTGACATGACAATCTTTCTTCCTCGCTATGTCTTGACAAGTTTGCTTGAGAGATTTTAATCGCTACTAA